TAATGGAGCAGAGCTGAGCTACTCGTTGGGTGGTTGCTCGACGCTTGATGCCAGCCAGCCAACTGCCATTCTAGCTGCTTCATTTACTTGATGACAAACTCTCATAAATAATGCGAATGCTCTATTAATATTTAAAACCCAGCGGAAATTAAATGTGTGCACGATGCGAAAGGAGAGCAAGCTCTAAACGTAGCTTTGACTCAAAAATGGGTAATGGGGCAATCTCTTAAAGTGAGCTCGACTAACAGATCGGTGGCAGCTATGATTTCTTTGATTTTATGGCAAAAAATGGATATCCTTATAGGGAAAAGGCATTGCAAAGGACTTAAGGAGAAATGATAGAGATGAGTTTCAGACCAACCTTAGCAGCAGGAGAAGGAAGATTCCATAGCTGAAGCCACTGACTCACAACACTTGGCCTTAGGCACCTCATAAAACCAACTCCAGATTTGTGTCCTCCCCTTGTGAAATCAATACTAGATCCTAGAACATGCCAAAGAAGACTCTTCTTATTTAATCTTTGCCTTGCAAATGCATTCACTTTCAAATCAAATTGAGATTCATTTGGACTAGTGGCGCAACGGAAATGAATTTAAATCTTCACCTAAACGGAAAACTCTGATTCAATCGGTGACTCATGCCGTTGGCTCGATGGGCTATCGCGTTCAAGAGCTTAGAAGCTTTTTAATAAAAAGCTTGGACCTTCTACGTTGCGCGGTAAAATGTTGAAGAGATTGGAAAGACTGAGAGTCAAATGAAGCACTTACTGGCGCAGCTGGAATTTAATTTTGCTCCAGTTGAGATTAAGAAAATGGAGACGGGCAGGGCTCTTAACAAATCTTCGAGTTTTTTAGCTGCACAGCAATTTGTAGCTCCATTTGCTGCACTTGGCTGCTCGGTCAGAGCCACTCGTCTTAATTTTTATGAGCTGTCTTAAGTGAGCCATAAAAAAACAAAAGGTCGGAACGGGGCAGTTGGCTTAGCGCAGTAACAAATTAAAATGTATGCCAGCATGAGGTAGCGGCGCAGGGCACAAGGTGACAACTGAAAGGCTAACGTTGACGCGTTGCTGCCAGTCAACGTCGGAGGCGCAATCGTCCCATCGTCGGTCAGTTGGTCCGTCGTCGAACGACGTCAATGTTTATCCGGGCCAAAGCCAGAGCCAATGTGGCTGTGGTTTTGCACCCTTTTTCCGCTTTGCTTAACCCTCAACCCTCTCTCTCACTCTCTCTCTCTCTCTCTCTCGCTCTCTTGGTCGTGTCCTGCCACCTGGTGGGCGCATTTAAATGCATGTGCCACGCCCCGTTTGATATATTGACCAATTTTTGACACAAAAATCTATCGCCATGACGTCACAGCTAATATTTTGCCCTAGTTGTCCTTGTTGCAGCCCCAAGTCCTGTTGCTCCTTAATTAAATGACAAGCACAGGTACTCGAGTCGAGTGTGTCCGTTTGATTGATACCCTGCAAGCTCACACTACGATAAAAAGCTTACATCATACACATATCTCAGTATATCTAGAGCCATAGATCTTCCTTTAGTCCCAGGGCTGTTGCATAACTTCGCTCAGCATAAAGAACGCACGTTGCCCGGTCAAAACTTCAAGTCTAAAGCTGTCTAAAAGTTCTACTTGGCTGGCTCCTTTTGTCTGTTTTATAAGCTATCTTAAAAGCATTATAGCCTCTCTGGTCTTAGCCATTTGCAATGAGGGCATTATAAGCCAACTCTTGACCCAAGTTTTAAACTGGGTCAGCTCTGGCTGCCTTATCATACTAAATTTGCAATGCAGCAGCTAGAAGCTCGCTGCTCGCTGCTCGCAACTTAGCTGCCCGCCTAATCCCACACTCCGCTGCCTTCTTCTTGGCACTGTTCCACTGCCAGCACAGCTTCAGGTAGAAGCGTTTCACGTTGGCCAACGCACTAAAGCCTGAAATTCATGAATGCCTGAGAGCGTTCTCCGGCAAAGTGCGCGTTCTCTAATAAGGCACTAACTACATTCGACTACAGCAACAATGAGCCGGGCACAAAAAGGACCTGTCGCTGCTTCTGTTTGAATTTTAATGAAATTAAAGATTACTGAGCTCAACAACAACAAACAAACAACAACCGACAACAACCAGCAACGGCAACAGCAACATCATAAGTAAGAATAATAAACAACAGATGGCGATGCAGCCACGTCCAACGCGTCTCTCATCTTGAAAATGAGCTCAAGCTCGCTGCTAACAGCTAGTTGATATATTTAGCTCTAATTAAATGAGAGACCGCGCCCCTTGCGCTTTCTCCAGTCATCTTATGCATCTTGTTGCATGACGCAAGCTGTGTTTGCATAATCATTAGGAATACGAAACTTGAAATGTATACTTCCTGCTCAACACCTTTGGTTGACCTTTGATTTTTGTAACAGCTCTTAATTAAGCCTGAATGCCATAGCAATTAGAGCAAAATGCAGCATCTTGGGCGGCTTTCAGATATTTGACTCGTGGTTGGCTTATCAGTTTCCTTGCCAATTACCAACTTTTGTTGTGCAAAAACATACAGTTTTGAGTCGGCCGCTTCAAATTACTAAATAATGCAGTCGCCTCAAAAGCTGCAAATTTAATGTCCTGCCATTTGCTGGGCTAACTAAGTTTGAACCATTTAAGTGTTTTACCTCTTGTTTAACTAACTTAAAAAAAGGACAACAAAGGGCAATAAAACCAACACGATTTGCTTTATGACTCTTCTCGTCTTATTTTGATGCAGCGCATTCAGGCCATCAAGTATCAAATAGCAACAGTGTCTCGAGTGTTGGCGCCGAGTCGACTACTCCAAGTCTTTTCCAGAGTGGTAGTTACTATGGTAGCTAGATTTTTATCACTTCATGCTAGTTTCCGGATGGTTAGACGGGTGCTGACTTAAGACCCAAAGAATGTGTAACAAATTGCGTGTCTGCGCACTGAAGCCATGATGACGGCAGACTTTTGGGCGAAATTCACTTTATTCTTAAGCAACTGCGATTGCATTTTGATTAAAATTTGCTTAATGTTTGCCACACGTAATTAAAGCAAATCAGGATCTAAATGCAAACATGAAATATAGTTATTGGAAGTACTCTGACTCTAGCTTAGTCTTAATTTTTATTTATTCATTTTTACGAAAGAGTGTATTGGCTTTGTGCAATGTCCGTCCGTCCATCCTACCATCTGTCCGTCCGTCCATCCGTCCGTCTGTCTGTCCGTCATTTCGTCAGTCCATCTGTCCGTCCGTCCGTCCGTCCATCTATCCATTCGTCTGTCCGTTATTTCGTCAGTCCATCTGCCCGTACGTTCGTTCGCCCGTCCGTCCGCCCGTTCGTCCGACCGTTCGTCTGTTCATCCGTCCGTCTGTCTGTCCGTCATTTCGTACGTCCGTCCGTCCGTTCGTTCGTCCGTCCTATCTTCTGTCGGCTGGCTGTCAATCCGCCCGTCCCTCCCTCCGTCCCTCCGTCTGTCCGTCCGTCCATATGTCCGAATGAAAGTTAAACCTTTTCGCCGCTATTGTAACTTGAAATTTGGAACATATAGTCATGAATACCCTCGTCAGATAAAGTGAAAAGGTATTTCCGATTTGCCCACTCAAGGCGTGGCAAATCGGGAAATATTATATATGCTATGGCAGGACATAATATATATGTTAAGTTGCTGGACGCTCGAACAACAACCCAAGAACAAAAAGATATAGATATATATCTACAACCATTAAGGGCGTGGCAATCGTAAGGCGATCTGATAAGTGATATGGGTATATTCTCTTTAGCCTTGCTATCAGCTCAAAAGTGAACGAAATATATGCAATATATAGAAACAATATTCAACTAGATAATTGTTGCTTGTTATATAAGTTGTCATGAATATTTGGTTAAGCTTTGAGTACATAAGCCGTAATGGAATTGGTTGGCATTCAGACATGAACTACGCTTCAATGATGCCCAATTGAAACGAATGCCATTTTAGAATATCGAAACGGCTGCAGCTGAAAGATATCTTTTCATATAAATACCTAGGATTGTTTAGAGATGTAGGTGATGCATTCGGCTTTGGCTATTGAGCTGCAGTGATGCCACAGTTGAGTGCTGTTGTGAGTGAATCGATGCCACATTAACCACATAATCAAACAGGCAGCCAGGCGCATTTATTGCTCTTCGTATAGTGCAGCCTGAAAGACAACTGCTTTCATAATTAATTACGCAACTTGCGCTCGATTTGCACAGATTCTGCATAAATGCACACGCAAAATCAATTCGATTAAATAAACTGATGGAGGACGAGATATGGGCAGAGAAAGAGATAGCGAAAGTGGCCATTGCATAAGCTCCATTCACAATGGCAAAAAGTGGCCAAGCGAGCCGAACAAAAGAAAATGTTGAGCTGCGTCTTATGTGATTTGCCGCCCACGATTTGCTTGCGGGTGGCTTTTTTCGCGAATTTTCCTTTCTTAATCGCCAATTTCTTTTCTTCCTTCTTAAGCTAAAATAAATACGGCAAGATGGGTATAGTTTGAATAACGTCGTTCATAACGTTTCTTAACTTTATCAACTTTGTTTGGGTAATCAATAATTTTTCTTTTTATGTTAGAATTGCTAAAGAATATTTGCTCAGTATTCAAAGAGTCTGTAGCAATCTAGCCTCAAACAAAGCACAAAAAACCAAGCAACACTTCGATTGAGAAAGTAAGGACGACAAGTAGGAGATAGGAGATCACAAACAGATTGCAAATAACTGAAGTCTGATGAAGGGTTGATTCGTTTGAAGGACACAAAATAGTTCTTAAGTTTTGCGATAGTTTTTGAGCAGGCCTCATACGGCTGTTACATTCATTTCAATGGTAGCAAAAGAAAAAAAAAAACATTTTTGCTCCACAGAATCGATAGTTTTTCTTAGCATCAACCAAATCTCTTCATTCTGCCTGTGTCCCACATGTATTTTCCCTTGGCAGCTGTTCGAAAGTATGCTATAATTTATATGTTTGTCTTTGCAGTGCCATATGCAACCGATAAGACTGTGTGAAGTGGTCAAGGGAAAGCAACTGCAGCAGCAGAAGGAGCAGCAGCAGCAGCAGCAGCAGCAACAACACCAACAGGCAAATACACAGTATCAACAAGAGGAAGCAGCGCAGCAGCAATAAAGAAATTCCAACCGCCGCGTTGCTTCGCATCGCGTGTGCGTGTGTGTGTGTGTGTGTGTGTGTGCGAGAGTCGTTAGTGATCTGAACAAAATGGCGGGCGGCCAGCGCAGCCACAATGCAGCGCTGCACAGCAACGTCGCAGTCGCCGTGGCCGCGTTGCAGCTCTAAGCGAATGCCCAACGATCGAGCGGGCAAAGCATACGGAAAGAGACAGCGACACATAGCGAACAAGAGCGATTCGAGACCCGAGCTACAAGCAGCCAGGCAGCCACATCCATCCATCCACAGTCCAATTGCAGTTGCAGTTGCGGGGGGCAGGCGCAGCTGTTTGACGAGGACTTCAGGTGCCAGTTGAAGGGCATCGAAGGGCGGCGACGCGACGTAACGATTAGGCACCAAAATGCCTGGCGGACGACGTGGACTGGTTGCGCCGCAGAACACATTCCTTGAGAACATAATACGGCGCTCCAATTCGCAGCGTAAGTAGAAAATAAATAAACTAGTACTGAAAAATATCGATTTACGGCTTATTGGACATCGAACTCTATGTTATCGATATCGATATTTTATTTGTTGGTATACTGTTAGAAAATAGTACTGCAAGAATATCGATTTCCACGCTATCGGCTATCGAAATTGACATGAACATCAATGTTCGAAAATAAATCTTTAATATATCGAGTTGTGTATAATCGAATATCGATATGTTCAGTTATCGATCAAGCTAACATCAATCCTAATATCTGTGATCTATGATCTCGATGTCAATACTATATACAACATACTGTTGTATAGTATAGTCGATAGACTTTTGAAACTATCATAAGGAAATCATAACACAAAATAACTATATAAAAGCTACTATCGATAACTACTGACTGCTAACGATTTTTTGTGATGTTCACATAAACTTCACATCCAAATATGCAATTATCAGTTAATTACCGTTAATTATCGATGAATTATCCATCAACTAGTTACCGATAGACAACACTATCGATAATTAACGAGCAATTTCATGGGGGTAATTAGCAGCACTTGATTTGCAATTATTCAGTCTATGAGCAATGAGTGTTCAACGTGATAGATAACAGAAGGTGAACTTCGTCGTTTGTCAATTGTTATAATTGGCACATTAACCGTTATGTAGTTAGCTATAACAATAAACGTCATTTGGACTCATTTACTGCGAGAGACCATTTTAAATTTCAAATAGCTTACAATATTTGTCAAGTCCCAAAGCCGCAGCCCAGTTCAGTCCACTTTTAGAATCTGCGGTTCACAGTAAATTTGCCGTTCCGTAAAAGCAGGTGAATTTTTAACATGACGTCCACTATCTGCAGCAAACAGATGCTGAAATTTCATTTGTGGTCAGCAGCGCTCAAAACTTCTGCGTTAACTGGAACTGGGACAGGGCCTGGGACTGGGACTGCGATTGTGGGGTTAAGGGTTAAGAGCGGAGATAGTGCGAATGCCAACAGCATGTGAAATGATTTTCCGTTAAGTTGTCAATGCTCGCAGCCTCAGCTGCCGTCCACAGGGAGACAGCAGAAGGGCATATACGCAGCACGCAGCGTTTTAACTCTATAAATAGACGTGTCCCCAAACTGCCACCCACACATCCACACACACACACAGAGTGAAACACAGGCACTTCAGTTGCGAACTGGCATCGCCCCAAGGCTGATTAAATGGTCAGCACCAACCTGTTGACCAGCTGCAAAAAAAAAACCACAGCAATGGGAACTGAAAAGCGAGAACGGGAATGGGAATGGAAAATGTGAATAAAAAGTGGATTACGAACAGGTAGAATGAATAGGTACTGCAGTAGGTAGATAGAAATAGCATTAGCCCAGTGAATAGAAATTAATGAGTTCAACAAAAATAAAATTCTCCAAATGCAAGTATCAAGAAATGCGGGAAAAGCAGAAAAGCAGAACACAAATTGAAAGGACGGAAGGAATTTGAGAAATATCTAAATATAGAGATAAATGCGACTAGTCGAGATGGAGCAGGGAATGAAACTCAAGATAATTGTGAAACAATAGAAACACAAATGGGAAGAGAAAACTGAAGCAGAAAGCTAGGAGACAAGGGGCTCTGACAGAGGCAGAAGCCTGAATGGCGCAGTCTAAGGAATTGCAATTAAAAATAGCAACGGAAGAAAGACGAGCTCAATTGCGGAACTATCAATACTGGCATGAAAAGAAGTAATTATGAAAGTCAATTACGACGTGGCAACTACACTGTGGACTGACGCATGTAAATGAATTCCCCTAGTGCAAGGGAAACGTGAGCTACATGATGCTGCTGATCAGCCACGCAGTGCCAAGCGAGCCGTGTGACATGGCGGCAACGAGAGCGGCGCAGCCACAAGACAATAACATGAGCAGATAATTAACAAACGAATGGCTGACAAAACCACCGAAAAGCCAACCCAAGCGCAACTGTGGCGAGCCACCGCAAAACCACGGGACCAAGCAGCTGGCATTTATACAATTGCTGCTTCCCAAATTGTTGTTTCTGCAATTAAGGTTGTTGTTGTTGACCGACTGTGGAAACTGTGGAAACAGTGGAACTGTTTAGGCCATGTTATAACTCCCAGCGGCTGCAAATAATTACAAAGAGCAAAAATAAAATAAACAATATGCTCCGAGCGTTAAATGAGGCTACGGAATCAGCTCAAGTCAGTCAAGCTAATGTCTCGAAGAACAGTAATACCAGTCACACTTAGCGAACTACTTGGATGGACCATGAAATATAGCTGGACTTGTAACACAGCTGAATCAGAGCTTCAGGTGATGTGAACAACTCAATAAAAGTTACAGATGCACTCGAATTATTCATAAATCAAGCTCAAGCATTAAATCTTATGTTAAGTCGCTGCTGTACAAATTAGCATATGTTAAGCTTATGTTATTGCAATGTCTGGAGATATAACCCATCTTCATGCCATAACAATTCGAGCTGAAAACGAACTATTTATTTATATTTACCAAGCTAATTGATAAATTGATTGAATTGCTAATTAGCTGTCAATTAGGTTAACATCAGCTTAACATAGCAGGCAAATGTTAGTGATAGAGCTTCATTTCTATTAAATATCGTCTTATGATTCAATCAAACTTAGCTTATTAAAGTTTGACAAGCTCTATTTCATAAAGACGTCGGCTTAAATACTCTGCAAGGGGCAACCGGGTGGCCTTTTCAAGGCCGACGTCTGTCAATCAGGAAGGTGCTTTAAATTGCTCCGAGCAGGGGAGGCTTGTCTAATAAGCATACATACAATATATGTATATATACATATATATATATATTTATTTATAGAGACAGAGACTGTAGCTAGTCGAAAGCGGATTACCGAGCAGCCAAATCAGACATTAAGCCTTTTTCAAAAGGATTTGCGAGTCGGGCAAAGTGAATAGCAGCAAAATCAGTGACAGAGGAATAGAGCGCGATAGAGGGATAGACAGAGAGCAAAGCTTGTTAATGCTTACAGCCAAGAGGGAGCTACAAAAAGATGTGACTACCTCACATTATTTTCAGTTTTGTTCACTTTTTCTCCTTCGGCTCAAAGAGCGTTAAATGGAAACGTCGCAAAGGAAATGCACACTAACGTAGCAAAATGGAGGACAGCAGCAAAACACGGATGGGGAACAAGATGAGGCTTAGGATGGGTAGGTCCAAAGTGCTGAGATTGAAATAAGGAAGTGTCGCATATTAGGGCGAGGTAAATGCGTTGCAAAGGAAAACTCTATCAGAGGTTTAATAAAACCTCAAAAAAAAAGAGGAGGAAAAAAGTTGATCTGAAAGTAGTTCGTATAAAAAGTGAGGGCAGACAAGAAGCAGAAGCAGACAAGAGTTTTCCCTGCCCTTTGAACCGATCAAGATATAAGTATTCCCAAGGAAGGAATTGGAGATATGTCAGTCAAAGAGAAAGTATTCTGCCTGGAATGCTTGCCTATATAGACTGGCCACAAGATACTTAATCATATAGGATATCTGCTGCAGTTCACGATAGACTTAGCGTTAGCCTAAGCAAGAGCACTATACTTAATAAGCTGATGCAAAATCGTGAATCTGAATGAAGCTTCAAGTTGAATAAAAAATTGTATTTGAATACGACTCCACCATGAAACACATACCATTATGGAGCACAAGCGTGATACCTGCGACTGATGCCCAACAATGGGGGCCAGCGTTAGGAGCCCTCTGACCAACGTGTGTGTGCCGTGCCACATGTGTAGCACATGCCACATTCAGAAGGCAACATCAGTGGCGCATTTTGAGTTTTCTTTTTGGGTATTGCTCGGGGCACACGGTTCCCTATACCAGCGCCAGCGCCAGCTCCAGCTCCAGCTCCAGCTCCAGCTCGCCCAATGTAATTCAATGAAGGATAAACAAATGTGAGTTGGAGCAGCCCAACTCCCTACAAGCCCCAAACCCACACTCATTTATGCATTTAGGTATAAGTGTGGGCGTGTGTGTGTGAGTGTGTGGTGGGCGGGCGAGGACTTACCCAAAACATTTGCATAACCAATCGCGAGCCCCCGGAACAGCCACATTACGTATACGCAGCATGGGCCCGGGTATTGGACTGCTCAACGGCTTCGTTTGGACAGTTTTTCAATCATGCCCGCTGCTCTGCCCTGCCTTGTCCTTATTATTCGACAGGCCCGCTTGCTGTTTGTTTGGGTCGATTGGTTTTTGTGTGGAGGCGTTTTTTCGAGCCACGTTAACAAATCGTTGGAGCCATAAACAAAAGCCTCGCAGGCGCCCATGATTAACAGCCGCTCCAGCCCTCAAAAGGCGGAAAAAACTAAGCAGCAAAGCGTACATTTTCACAATATCTTTAATACCATAATATATTATAATAACAAACTTATTAACGAGCCACTCAGCCGCTGAGACAGCTATTCGACCAAGGCCTTATCGGCTGCAGCCAACCAGCAGCGCCTGCCTTGCTTGACCAGAAGCGTTTAAAGTTACCAGCTCGTTTAAGGCCTTTCGCTGAGCTGACTCTTTCAACAGTTTATATCGATTTCACTTTTTAAGAGCAATTTCACTCAATCGAAATTATTACCACAGCTCGCAAGGCGCATTTAGGCCAACTTAACTGAGGCGTAATTGGAACTATATAGTAAAGAGGGACCTAGACGCTTGATCAATATCTAGGCTTAATGGAGCAGTCGCTATATAATATATTATAGGCAAATAAGACTCAGTCTCAAGGAACACTGCCAAAAGAGAGATCAGCAGGTGGAACACCTTAAAGCTGCTTAAAATGAGATCGGTAAACTATTCTGATGATCAGATCAGGAAGCACATCATTGCATCATAGCATAAAGCTCTAAAGTACTCTAAAGTTCAGCTCAATCCCTTCTGTTTTAAAAGTATCTCAGCCAAGGCCAGACTTTAGCAGACCCTTTGACTATATCAGCTGAATTCAGCCCTCAGTCCTTACACGTGTATCTGTTGA